GCTAAGCGGTGCCATGTCCACACCCGGGATCTGAACCAGCGAACCCCTGGCCGCTGAAGCGGAACATGAGCACTTAACCGCTGAGCCACCGGGCTAGCCCTACATGATGGTTAATTTTATGCGTCAACTTGACTGGGCCATGGAGTGCCCAGATATTTGGCGAGACATTATTCTGGGTGAGTCTGGGAGGGTGTTTTCAGATGAGTTTAACATTTGAATCAGTGGACTGAGTAGAGCAGATCGCCCTCCCTCATGTAGGTAGGCTTCATCCAGTCAGTTGAAGGCCTGAATAGAACAAAAAGGCTGACCCTCACAAGTAAGACTGAACATTTCCCGCCTGACGGCCTTGAGCTAAGACATCGGTTTTTCCTGAGTCTGGAGCCTGCTGATCTTTGGACTACAACTCTGCTAGTGGCTCTCCTGTGTCTCCAGCTGGCCAACTGCAAATCTTGCGATTTGTCAGCTTCCATAATCGTGTGAGCCAATTCCTCATAATAAATCTCTTTCTATATGTATATACATCCTATTGGTATGGTTTCTTTGGACGAGAACCTTGACTAATTCAGCCCCTGAATGGAGGTGGGGCACAGCCATGACCCTGTGGGGGATCAGAATTGGCCACCCCAAGTGTGTCTCTTTGGCTTGATTTTTTGTTTTTTTTTAAAGATTGGCACCTGAGCCAACAACTGTTGCCAATCTTCTTTTTTTTTTATTCTGTCTTCTCTCCCCAAATCCCCCAGTACACAGCTGTATATTTTTAGTTGTGGGTTCTTCTAGTTGTAAGGCTTGATTATTTTTAAGAACAAAAGACTCTGAAAGAAACTTTGACCTCCCCCCAATTGCCTTAAAGAATTTAAATAGAAGGGCCCATTCCAGGAAGGAGCTAATACCGTAAGATAACTGTAACTCAATGTAAAATGTGTCTCTCAGGTCACATTGTCTATAGTTGGCCTATTTGCATTTCCATCTCCACATAAATTGTCTTCCTCCCCCTTGAAGTCTCAAACTGCTATCCCCAACACCCTCTTTTGTCTTTAGCTGAAAATAGTATTTAAGGTGGTGACCTCTGACATTTTGGCAAGTTGCTCAGTTTTCCTGGGTGTCTCCCATGTATACATGTTATAAAGCTTTGCTTGATTTCTTCTTGTTATTCCATCTCATGTCAATTTAATTCATAGCCCAGCCAGAAGGACCTAGAATGGGTAGAGGAATTGTCTTTCTCCCCTACAACCCTATACTTGCCTGCTCTGGGCTGCAGATGGCAGGTGGCCAGTAAGATGGCCACAACACACTTAGACATGGTTTACCATTGATGGTGAACTTCCCAGACACTCTACCAGCCCCCTTGTGATAATTGGTCCCAGTTGGCAACCTGGTGGCCATTGAATGGTTTTTCCCACTTGACCCAAAGATTGGTCTCATGATCGAGGCCTCTTGAGTATTTCTAGTTTTGGGGGATAGTGATGATGTCTAGCCCAAAAAGAATGCCAGGCTGAGTTTACTGCTGTGCCTTCTACCTTGGGCATAGCAGGCATTTGTAGGTGTCCATGTACTATTGCCCTGTGTGGTGGACATGAATGTGATTTTCTGTCCACTCTGGACATTGCAAATGTGAAAATGACCACAGTTATGCATATATGCCAAGGGAACAGACACAGAAAGCCAGATGACATGGAGGTGCAGGTGCAGGGGTTTGCCTGGGTGCACGGGCATTTAACGTGTCCTTCAGTGGATGAATTAGGATCATGAATGGAAGAGAAAGGCTGAAGGTTGGGATGCAAAATCACCAACTTCCTCCCAATTAAGCACTCGATTTGGATTGTCAGTGCCTTGGGGACATTGTTGCTGGTCTCCTTGTGCCTTGCCACTGCAAGCAGGTGCTGAGTAACTGCTCTTTGTGACGGTGTTGCAGGAAGTCTTGAGAACAGGAAAAGGAGAAGGCTCACATTTGCTACTTTCTTGGCAGCCAAAAGTGGGCCATGGATGATGATCAGAGATTTGGGAAGGAAGAGGGTGGGCTCAGGGAGGGGCTTCGAAGTCACAGATGAAACTCTGGGGTCTGATCCATACCCACAAACAAAAGCCAGAATTGATTTAATGGAGTTCCATTCATGTGTTCAGCAGACACCAAATGAGCACCTACTAAGTGCCAGGCCCTGCGTGAGTGGAGGGGATACAGCGGGGAGCAGGATGGGGTAGAGATGTTCTCTCCAGTGGTGAACGCTAAAGGGGAGGAGCCAAGAAATGAGATGATCTGCCCACCCTGGTGCACAGACGGCTGCCTTGTTTGATTTCTCAGCCCTGTCCTGAATGGGGTTCAGCTGACTCTTGACTCCCCTGCGGAGAGAGAGGGCACCAGGGTGCCCGAGGTGTCCGCTCCCCAGCCTGGGCCAACTACTCCCTTTGTTTCTCACTCAGAGCCACCCTGGCCATTTCAGATGCAGCCAGCCTAGAGGCTTAGCCCAGAGGCAGCTGTGGGGCGTGGGCCTGGCAGCAGGCAGGCTGGCCAGTGGGCGGGCAGACAGGCAGCAGGAGAACACTCGAGAATTAACCTCGACCAGGACTAGGCGTCCCCTCAGAGGACGCAAGGATCACGGACATCTCCTCTCCTGCCTTTTGAAGGTACACCCCCACATTCCAGGGCCTGGGCAATGGAGTTGATTTTAATGGTCACTGGGTATGGGGTTTGAAGGAAAGAGTAGACACTCTCCCCATTCTCGGGTTTGTTTTGAAGTGAGCCAAAGGGTCTGTTGGTCTCAGCACCAGTCCCCTGAGGATGGGTAGGTGGGCCCCAGGTCCGTCAGAGGCCAGGCCAGGCTGCCCACTGATCTGGCTGCCCACTGATCTGGGGCGGGCGCTTCCTTCCTGGGAAGGGCCAGCCAAGAGGCAAGCGGGGCGCATGTGCACCTGGCCCCTTCCTCCCTCCGCTCATGCTCTGCACCGCTCCCTTGCTCTCTCTTCAGATTTAGACATGGCTCGAGAGTACAAGCCTGGCCCTGCCCAGCCAAGCCAGAAGAGGCAGCGGGGCACAGCCATCTCCTGGTGAGTCTGTCCGGGGTTGCCTGCCGGGGAGGGAGGCTGGTCCCCGGCTTATTTAGGGCTCTGGGTTCCTCTGGGTTGGAACAAGGACCCCAGAAGTCCTGCTTAGTGCACTGCACATCCAGCTGGCTCGAGCTGCCCAGCCTATTCACTGTGGCACCTGAGGATGTCACTTCTCCCTCGGCCTCAGGTTTTTTCTGTAAACTGAGGAAGTCCACCCAGTTCATTCCAAGGCCGCTTCTAGCCACCATTCTGCTGGCAGAAGCAAGGTGCCCCCTCCTCCCACCTGGAGCGAGGGGACGTGGGTCCTTCCAAGAGGAGCCTCATTTGTGGGGTGCTTGGGGGCTTTTTCCAGGTAGAGATATTTGGGAAGTAGCAAATGGGAACGTTTCTAAACAAAATCTTGCCCCTAAATTGAGCAACTTAAAGAAATTTTAAAGAAACCTTTAAAATGTTTTCAGAAAGGAGCTCACCAACCTCTGCCAGCCAACACGCAATTTCACAGGCGTAACGAAGGTGTGTGTGAACACCGTGGCCCTGTTGTCCCCTTAGCTGGGCATTTGTGATGGCTGCGCTCAGCCCCTGGCCCTGTTGGGGCATCTGGGTGGTTTCTATCTTGCCACAGAGGAGACGGGGAGGCAGTGAGGCAGGCGGTTAATGTTAGGAGCAGCACTGTGTAAACACGCTGGTGCCGAAGGTTCTGCTTCCTTTTGGATTTCGCCTCAGCTCGTCTCCGCCAAAGTGGGATGGCAAGGCTGGGCTCAGGGGCTGTTTTGGGAAGTCTCTACACCTCCAAGTTGACCTCAAGAGAGATTAGACCAAATGCCTCCCTGCTAGCGGCAGCCTGAGGGTCCGCGTCACCCTGTGAGTGTGCCCGTGTTTCTTCAGTGATACAGAACTGCGTATGTGGTGTGTTGGTTTGCTGGCTCACATGTGCGCCTCTTATCTAGGGCATCTGTCTGTTGAGAGGGTTTTGTAATTATCTGTCCCATGGGAGGTACATGGTTCTTTCCCATAGTCCTCTCATGTGGTTTTTAACGTGGCCACTTTTGAGGCTGGGGGAAGCCCTTCCTCAGTTCTTCAGTTTCAGTCACCTTCTTCAGATTTCATACCCCCCCTCTCCCAACCTCCTTGCCCAGCAGGCTGGGACCCAGTCCTGTCAGCCCTCTGAGGGGCACATGTGGGGGAACAGGGAAGCAATGGGAAGTGACGACAGCTGTCTCACAGGGGCTCAGACTCCATTCAGAGAGACTCCAGCATTCATGGTCTGGGGCAGGGGTGGCCTCCTTAAGACCCGTGCCGCGTGTCCCCAGGGGATTCCAGAATGAAGCATGAAGCATTTCCCAGGGCCTGGGGCAGCATGGGTTTGGGGCAACAGTGGCTGGGTGACTGTGGCTGTGGTCCCTTTGGATGGTGCCCAGAAGAGAGGCAGGCTGGGAATGGGGTTCTGGTGGCTGGTGAGCTGCTGAATGACCTCTCCATAATAACTGATCAAGTCTGGGCCACCTGACTTGGGCCTCAAATTGGAATTTGTCAACCTGGAGGGAAAGGTTTGTGGTGGAAGGATTGCCCCAGGTCCTCTTCCCCTGTCCTTGCCCCTGAGGACACTGGAGGGGGTAGCTTGACTTCTGCTCACCACGCCATTCCGACGGTGCGTTTTACTTCTTTTTGAGGGAAGCCCAGGCTTGCAGACTGTAACCATTAGCCCAAACCAGGGGAGGGCTGCGGCTGCTAATCCCTGACCCCCTACGACCAGCCCGCTGCCCTTTGGGGAGAAAGGAGCAAAGCCACCCATCCAGGGCGCAGGCCTCAGCCTTTGCTGATGACCTGGGGTGGGGCGGGGACAGCAGAGAACCGCAGAGCGTGGAAGCCATCACGCCTAAAGGCCCCCCTCGCCTGCAGCAGCCGTGGCTGCAGCGGCGCATGCGCCCTAACCGCTAACCCCCGCCTAAGGCCCTGCCTCTGTCTCAACCCTGGCACTTCCCAAGTCTGTGTTCAGTGAAATCCCATTCTTTTTTGTGGCTCATTTCTGGCTGTTTTAAGAAGTCATTTTAGGGAAAAACGTAAGCAAGGGAAGGTAAAAGGTCTCTCCTTCTGCATTGGCCGGGAATCGAACCCGGGCCTCCCGCGTGGCAGGCGAGAATTCTACCACTGAACCACCAATGCTCTGGTAGTCTGGGTTCTTCCACGGCAGCTCAGGTGGTCTGCCACAGATCCCTGCGCTTTGTCTGGATTCTGCCAAGTTCTTGGAGCAGTCGCGGGAGCGAGGATGGAGATCCAGACGAGCAAGGCTTTTCCCCCGAGTGGTCGTGCTCAGCTGAGGCTCGTCACCTTGAGTCTGTCCTAGTCCCCAGCCCTCCCGGCTCGGTCTTTCCTGGCCTTCAGGGGTCTGCCTGTTTCCGGCAGCGCGCCGGGGACCCCGACCCTGCAAGGCCGCGGGGTGGGGACAAGCCATCCCCGCGCTCCGCTGGCTCGCTTTCCTTTCTCCAAGGTTGCGCCTCCCACCACCGGAATCAGCATCCCTGCGGTTCCCGGGCCGCCTACCCAGACCTCCTGAAGCCAGAAAGCCGAGGCGGGGGTGGCCGGAAATCTCACTCCCAGACCTGGGGACCTCGGGGGATGAAGACGAAAGGGGGTCCGAATGCCCTCTATTCCGCCCCAGTGGCCCTCAAAGGCCTCCCTCGCCTGGGCTGGGCCTGAGCCAGGGGTGTAGGCGCTGGGTACCAGAAAGTTGTTTTAGAAACTTCACTGCCCACATGCATTCCCCTCCCAGACAACGCATCACTTGCCCTAGGCGGAACCTGAAGCTCCTGCAGCTGTGTCCCCACAGGGCCTTCCTGCCCAGGCCAGGACCTAATTGTCTCTCTGCACGGATCCCCCAACCCTTCTTGGGCACCAGTTCCCCGGAGTGCGTGGTGGATGAGACAATGGGGTGAGGTCGGGCTGTGAGAACCCGGGACTTTCCAGGCTGGTCCTCTCCCAGGGCCTGGAGCAAAGGAAGGTGGCCTGGCCACGGCTTTAACCCTGCCTGGCTGGCTCTGCCAGTGCTGGGCCCTGCATCCTGGCATTCCCATGCAAGGATTAAAGGCTCGCACACCCACACTGTGGCTTGGGGCCCTGACAACTCTCCCTTTCATCCTTTGCCAGACTAAGATCCAGAACATCAGTAGTGCCTGGGTCAGGCAGAGGAGACTTTGGAGGGTCCCCCTCTGGCTAGCCAGAAGCCACCAGGCAATTGTCCCCCTCCTGCCACCTGGAGCCACTGGAAGGTGCTCCTTATCAGAGGCCAGCCAGGGGAAGCTGGTTTGCTGTGGTCTCCCAAAGAGACCTTGGGCAAGTGCCTAGTGGCCCTTTGGGTAGAGAATCCTGGGATTCTAAGGAAAAGCTGCATACCTCCATTTCCCCAAGTTAAACTGGGGTCTGGGCAGGGACTCTGGCCCTGGACACTGACCTCTTCCGCATTTGTCTCTTCCGCAGGTGCGGTAACTATGACCTGGACTACGAGGGGTACAGGGAAGATGTCCCCTACAGGTGGGTGGGTCCTGCCCACTTGGTCCTCTGGGCAAACGGATGGGGCTGGTTGGCCTGACTCCCTCTTCGTCCTGTCCCATAGGGTGTATGAATACCGCAGGATCCCTCCACTCCTCAACCGTGTGCCTGTCAAGATCCGGAGGACCCATGTGGGCGTCGGAGTGAAGAGCAGCTTCAGTCCTCACAAGGTCCCCAGGAATAGCCAACTGCCCCCAGGGCAGATAAAACGTGAGTGAGGGGGCACAGCCCTCACCTGCAGCAAAAGGGAGGAGCTGGGCAGCCCTTAGCAGTGAGGGCAGGCCTGGGAGCCCTGGCAGCACTGCTCTCTGCCCCCTGGGCCCAGTGGGGCACCAACTCTGGCCCCTCTCCCGACAGTGCGGACTAAGGAGCTGTACTCCATCAGAGGGGAGCTGAGCCAGATCAAAGCCCAGGTGGACTGCCTATTGGAGAGTCTGGAGCGCATGCACCAGCAGAGGGAGCAGCATCCAGGTCAGGCACCCCCAAGAGTGGGCCCAGGCCATGTTCTTAGCAGGCTCCAGCTTTTCCTATTCCTGAGGGTGCCAGGGGCACTCAGGGTCCTGGACCTGCTGTTCCTGTCTGCAGGGCTCCTCCCTGCCTCCTGGAGTGCTCTTCCCCCGCCCCCTCCCCCCACTCCCTCTGGCTGTTCTTGTGGCTTGAGGACCCTTGTGGCTTCTGGGTTGTCCTATCACCCCCACCCACTCAGCAGCTGGCTGGGACCTCCAAACCCAGCCATTGACTGGTGACTCTCCTTGCACAGGGACAGAGGACAGTGAAGACAACAGGAGCCCTGATAGTAAGGGTTCCTCATGCAGACCTACTGAGCCCCAGCAGGAGCCCAGGGGCCAGAGCGCCCATCCAGAGGCAGACAGCCCCAAGGAGAGCACAGACCCGGAGGAGGCAGTGAGTGGCCTGACACCTCCCCCTATCCTCACCCTCCTTGTGTTTGGGTCCTTGTGGCCTCCCTATGAGCAAGGGAGGGACTCGGGCTTCTGTGGGAGCCCACAGTGGGTTGGGGGAGACATATGACTTCAACCACAGGCAATGCCCAGGAGAAGATGGGTCCTGCCCTGGTTTTTATTCCAACTAGGGATTGGTTGGCTCAGCTGGACCAGTTCTGGGCTGAAATACCATCTCATCCTGGAAGATGCAGGGAGGGGGGTAGAGCTTTGAGCATTGTAGAGGGAATGTCACAGCTGTGCCCTCGGCCCCAGATCCCTTGCCTGAGAACCACCTGGTAAGCTTGTTAAGACTCAGATTTCTGCCCTTTTCCTGTCCGGTGCACTCACCTGCTGCCCCAGGGTCTTTGGACTGTCTGCATTGTACTATGCTCCCCAGGGAAGCTGTGGCACAGACCTTTCTGGATGGAGAATATCCACACCTGATCTGATAATGACCCTTTGTGCAGCACTAAAGGGCTGGAATGTTCCCTGCCCTACCATATCCTCCTTCCCTATGGGTGGTCCCTGAGGCAGGCCAAGCCCCCACTGCTATTTGGGCCATCTCAGCAAGGCTGGGGCTGCTGGGGAGTCGGCAGTGATGAGCTCCCCTTCCTCCACCTACCAGCTCTGCCCCTGGGCCTGCTGGGTTCCAGAGGGCCCTCACTGAGACCAAGGCCTGAGTCACATCTGGGAAAAGACTGGGCTAGATGGAGAGAATGCTTTCTTTTGTCTGGTGGTTCTGGGTTCAGGAAGAATCTAGAATAGCACTGAGCTGCCAGAGCTGCCAAGAAAGGGAGGTGGGGGTGGGGAAGACTGGGAGATGTTAGCAGATGGCCCTCCCTTTCCCAGCCATACCGTGCATCTTAGCCCTCCTGGCCAGAGTCCTGCTTCTGTTTTTCCTACAGGTGAAAAATCACGCATCTGACCAGGTCGGCCAGTAGAAGGTGGAACCCCTCCGGGCTCATTAGCTCTAGGCACTTTCCCGGGTGGCTCCATTCCTTCCCTCGTGTGGTTTTTCAAAGGCCTCCCGATCGCACCCACGCAACCAGAGTCTGGAGTGAGGGCAACGGGAAGTGGAGGCACAGCTCATCCAGACCAGCCAGGAAGCCTCCCTAAGGGTAGCTTTAGCTTTGCAGGTAGTTTCCAGATGATAGTCCAGGGACTGGCAGGGACTGGAGGGAGGAGGCACAGAACTGTCCTCATGAAGGTGAGGCCCAGTCTTGCAAGGAGCAGCTGGACAGGGTCCCCCTGGGAGTGCCATTAGCCCTGTCTGACTGCAGGTGCTGCTTTGGCTGCTCTTCTCCCCTCCCAAGGCCCCGCCAGTCCTGTCTGGCTGTGGAGCATCCTAGAGCAGCTGGCCCAGACAGCTTTCTCCAGCCACAGTGGTGCAGAGGAAATGTACTCCTGTTCCTAGTCGGTCTTCCAGTCTGAAACTGAGCTTTAAGGTCCTCAGCACGTGCCGCACATAACCCCTTTTGGTTCCAGACTCCCCATCTACCCTACAAAGCCATCCTTCAGAATAGGGGTATCATTTTTAGGTCCCCTTTCTATTTTGTCTTTTGCTGGTGTGATACTATTTCAGATCTGCTCTGGAAATACTACATCAGAAGGGGAAAAATAAAGTTTCTATTTCTTTTCCCTGGTCAGGGGTTCTTGGTGTGGTCTGAGAGCCTCATTCTGGTCCTTGGGCTGCCCCTGGCCAGCCCTTCCTAGAGAAGCTGAGCAGGCCTCTGGGACACACAAGTTCAGAAGCTTATATCAAACCAGGGCACAGAATGGGGACCAGCCTGCCCTGCCTTCCTCCAACCCAGACCTGAGCACAAACCCAAGGGGCTTAGGAGCCACACAAGAAAATCCTACCCTTGTGGTCCAGTCATCCAGGCTGGCTCTGCCCTACAGAATGGCCAGGCTGCATCTGGTTTTCCAGCATCTGGAAACTCCTGCTCCTGGCAGTTCATCTGCCCTCTCCCAGGAGCCAAGACTGGACAAAAGGCACCAATAATGAAGCCAGCCTGGGCCCCCATTTCTTATCAGCAGTGGAGGTCTCTGGCTGTGCTGCTCTGCACATGACCAAGGAAGGATGGGATCTGGCTTCCACCCAGAGCCAAACCCTTCCCAGCTACCCAACCCTGAGCTATGGTCTTGCAAAGCACCAAACCAGAGGCTGGGGGTGCACCCAGTGTGCTCCTGGAGCCATACAACCCTTCTACTCTTGTCACACGTCAGCAGTGGCCCTGACTCTGGCACCTGAGGGGCAGTTTCTCCTCCAAAACTCATTTCCCTACATCAACCTTTGCAGCTCCTTCAGTTTCAGCTGGTCTCTTCTGCTTGTGTTGGTGTAAGGGACAGGACACACTTAGGACAATGCTGTCCCAAGCCCTGGACACGAGGGGTCTAAGATTGCACTATCCAGCTCAGAAGAGCTTTGCTCTTTTTTATTCATGTGCGTTGTTTTAATAGATTTTTTCCTTTTTCTCCCCAAATCCCCTGGTACATAGTTGTATATTTTTAGTTGTGGGTCCTTCTAGTTGTGGCATGTGCCTCAGCATGGCTTGATGAGTAGTGCTATGTTGGTGCCCAGGATTCCAACCGGCGAAACCCTGGGCCGCTGAAGCAGAGGTGCCAACTTAACCACTCGGCCACGGGGCCGGCCCCTTAGCCTTGCTTTTTAAAATCCTGTACCAAGAAGAACCACGATAGAAGGCTTTTTCAGATATAAAACAGTTTTGTTTTTGTTTTAGCTCAGCTGTAAGTGAGAAGGCACAGCTTCCTTGTCCATTCCCTCAAAAGCAGCCCAGCTATACAGGAGGGAGTCACTGGCTGGCCTGCATAGGATCCACCCCTTACAAGACCATAGCTCCAGGTCTCGGAAGTCCTTTCGAACTTGGGAGTCAGGTTGCATCACAGGTTTCTTCAACTGGTTCGTAGATGGCAGCCAGCTCAAGTAAAGTTTCTTTGACGGAACAATTCGTAAAAAGCCCTTCCAACACACCTGTCCAGGGCATCAGTTCCGCGCAGGCCTCCCCAGATCCTCTCCCGCGCTCTGAGTTCTCAGCTCAGCCCAGCATGGAAGCCGAAGGGGCGGGTCCTTTCGGGGATCGCGGCAGCTCGGTCCACGGCGTCCGTCGTTGCCCTGGCTTCTGGTTCAGAGCGGCGCGGCGGCGTCCCTCCGGCGGGCGGCCCGCACCAGGCACTGCTGCAGGACGGGGTAGAGGCGCTGGCAGCCCTCGAGGCCCAGGCGCACGGCCTCAGCCCAGCTCTCGGTCGGGCCGCCCTCCCCGCTGCCCAGCAGCCCGGCCACCTGGTTGAGAACGGGCATGAGCGCCACCGTGAGGCCGGCGGCGGCGCGCTCCTCCTCGAGCCGCGTGGGGTCCAGCAGCCAGGTGGGCGCGGGCCCCGGCGCACGGCTCAGGCCGCAGCCCACCACCAGGTCGTACATCTCGACGCCCGCGTCGGCCAGGGCAAGCGCGGCGGCCGTGAGCGCGGCGGCCAGGGCCGAGCCGCCGTCCTCGAGCAGCAACGCCGACACCTCGAGCTGCGCGCGCGGGTAGCGGCCCAGGCGCACGGCTGGCTCGAGCGCCTCCTGCAGGGCCAGCGCCAGCTCGCGCTCCTCGCCACCCCCCGGGGGCGCGCGGCGCCGGCGGCCCGCGAAAGGCGCGCGGCGAAAGTCGCAGAGCAGGCGGCCGCGCAGCGCGGCCGGGGCCTCGCCGCCCGCTCCGGCCGGGCCGCCGCCGCGCTCGCCGCCCTCGGCCTGGCGCGGACCAGACACGGCGCACAGCACCTTGGTGCCCCCCGCCTCCAGGTAGGCCGAGCCCTTGGCCTGGCTCAGCAGCCCGGCGCGCGCGTACACAGGCCGCAGCCGCGTCGGGTCGCGAGCGGCGGGCGCCTCCTCCTCGTCGGCGGCGTACAGCTGCGGCGGCTGCGACTCCTCCGGGCCGCGGATGCGGCGGTGGTCCCCGGGCATGGCGGCGCCGGGCGTGTGCGCCGCTTCCGCCCGCCCGGCCTAGCGTGCGTGCTCTTCCGCTCGCTTAAAGCCGCGCGCCCGCGCGAGGGCTGTCGGGATTGCGGAGGGCGGCGCCGCACCGCCCCCTACTGCCCTGGAGGGAGAAGGGCGAGTGCTGCCCAGCCCCCGGGCCGCAGCAAGGACGCGCAGAGCTCGATGGCTTGAGGGGTGGATAGACCGACAGGCCTGCGGAAGTGGGACCTGGGCCGGCCCGGGTGACCTCTAGCCTCCTGGGCCAGGGCAATCCCAGGGCGTGTGTCTTCTGCCTTTCACTTGTGAAGGTTGTAATTATTTTAGTTTTGCAGTTACTTGTGTGACTATTTTATATGTGTTCCCCACTGCCTTGCCCAAGGGGGTAATGACATTTTGTCTTGTTCACTCCTGTACCCTCAGTGCCCTGGCTGGCATAAACGCCTGTTGAATGAGTGAATGGAACTGTCTCCCACACCGGATTGTGTAAGCTCTTTGTATCCCTAACACTCCTCACCTGGCACGTTTCTTGTGCCTCCCCTGCCTGCTTCTCTCACTCCGAGTGAGGACAGCCCCTCACCCCCAGGCCTGCTTGTGACGGCTGGTCGCTAATGCTTCTCCCAGTATAGACCTGCTTTCCCTTCTCCCTCCACATCAGCATGGCTGAGAGTGACCCTGGGCCCCAGGGCCAGCCTGTTGTACCCAGGGGACATGAAATCAGCCAGAGCTGGCACAAGCAACCAGTACCTTTAACCTCCCTGCACACTACTGTTTCCAAACCCAGCTGTCTTCAGACTTGGGTGAAGGTACTCAAGGCTAGGGAAGGGTCTCATGCTCACTGTCCATGTGAGGGGGTGAGGGGAGGCAACGGATGCACCCCAAATACCTCCTGTACCACAGAACACCTCTGACCCCACACCCCAACCTCAACATCACGAGGGAGGGGAAGAGGGACAAAGGCCTAAGAAATGGAGCAGTTCCAAGAAAGGAGCCTCTCTGCTTCCAGTAACCCCGTGGGTCATCTTCAGTTGAATGATAAATGTTTCTCTCCATCTGACCCTGCCTGTTCTGAGGGCTACCTCCACAGACATCTTGAGGGAATCCCAGGGGCTGTTCCCAAAGTTCAGGGGTCTGGAGCTGGTCTCAGCAGAGCACTGCAACCAGAAGCCAGCTGGAGGCACAGCATTTATTCCACAGACACCCAGGGAGCCGTGGGCCATTACACGGGGGGTACCTATTAGCAGGCAGGGGGACAAGGGGTTAGGGATCACACAGCATCATCAAGTATTGCACATGGTCCTTTTATTCTCTGCAGCAAAAACGATTCCTCCCTGCAGACCCAGAGCCTTAGGTCTGCAGAAAACTATAGACACAAGCATGACAATGATAAATAGCAATCCTGGAGTAGTGGTTCTAGACAGATGGCGCTGCCATGGAGGGCTCAGGGCAGAAATGTAATGTGGGCATTGAGTCACAGGCTGGCTCCTAGGTAAGTTCCTGTTACTGCTGGGTTAGAAGAACAGATGGTGCTGTAAAGATCCCAAGAGTCAAACGTCCTTGTGGTGGATGGAGAGCTCCTGGCTGGACGGATGTATCCAGGTGGTGGGGAAACGCTTCCCAGTGGAAGCCATCCCTGCCCTCAGTTCTTCACATCTCCCAGGCGGAGCTGGGCAAAGGAAGTAGCCAGCTGCAGCGCCTCCTGCAGGCAGCCCACGTTCTTGCCTGTGGCCTGAGCAGACACATCTTTGCCACCACCCTTGCCATCCATCAGGCCTGACACCTGCTGCACCCACTCGCTGGCTTTCAGGCCCCGGTTGGCTGCATTCTGGAACACAGGAAGGGGATGTGGAAATCAGGGCATGGGATGGGATTGAGGGAGACAGAGAGAGGGGAGAAAAAGCAAAAGGATGGAGTAGACACACACCCACTCCTGTCCTGGGTGATGTGCCAGTGCTGACACAGATCCTACAGCTGGTACCATGGCCAGGATGAGGCATACTGAATGGCAAAGCCAGGTAGCAGCCAGCAGAGTTAAACATATCCACCAAGGAGAGGGCCTGAGGGTAAAGGCTGCTGAAGGAGGTGACAAACAGGTGGGCAGGAGAATGGCCATGTCTAACAGGGATTGCACAGAGACATGGGTCTTGGCAAACAACAGTAAGAAAAACCAAGCTCCCTCAGAAAAGCTAGAGACACCACTTTCCACTGGCACAAGGCTGCGGGGCATTCTGACCTGGGGGACTTGACACAAGCACGTGATTTTGCCAGCTTCATTATCCACTGTGAAGAGCATGGCAGACGTCTGAGGGGAATGCGTCTTGAAGAGCTTCAAGGCTTCATTCAGGGCCTGTGGGGAGAAGCTGGTGTTGGACCATGGCCCTGGGGAGGCGGTCATGCTCTCCACAAGTGCAGCGAGTTTGTGGAGCTCAGTTCTCAGAGCGCTCCCCACCCCTCACGCTCACCCCCTTCTAAGAGCAGGTGCTGGTCCCAGGAGCCTGTATGGGGAAGGACCCAAGCACAGACGTTGCCCACACTCTGCCTCTGAGGTTTGCCTTCCACCTCCAGGAGCCATAGCTCGCCAGCCACTAGATCTCTCCAGGGCTCAGCCTAACCTCAATTCCAGAGAGTGGGCCCTCAGGCAACCATTCCACTCAGAGCCACAAAGCTCACACTTCAGCCACCAAAGGGCTGATGAGACCCCAAGAAAAGGAGATAAGCAGTGGACAGGCACAGAGCAGTGTCTGGAGCCCTAGCCCCTAGGTTGCCTTGGCTGAGGCGCCGCTCTCCATCTCCAAGATGACGAGAGGCTGGTTGGGGTTGCTGTCAATGAGCTGCTTTGTCTTCTCCAACACCTGCAAGGAAGGAAGTCCAGAAGAAAGGCCTCAGGTCAAAGGCCCAGACTCCAACACCCTGACAGCAGTTTGCACAGCTTTTGCTGGGTAAATCCTCCCTTCCAGCCCCCAGCACTGCCAGGACTCACCCGCTTCTGGACATCAGCTTTGCTAGCCCGGTCTAGGTCATCCATGATCTTCTTCAGAGATTTGAGATTCTCCCGGAATTCATCCTTCTGCCACTGGGGGATGACTGCAGTGGCCAGGGCCTAGAACCAGAAACAGAATACCCTGGGTTCTGGGCCACAAGGAGCTAGGATGTGAGGCTCCAGCCAATCCCACGCTTCTGGCTTTGAATACGAAAGTCCCTGACTAGTCTGGAAGGAGAAAGAAAACAAAAACCAAAAAGGTACCCACTGGCCTTGGAAGCAGTCACTTTACGAGCAACTGCAATAGTTGTAATGAGAAGGGGTAGAAAGAAAGGGGCAGAATAAAGAGAGCTGGGATCCCCTGTAAGACCTGGCCCCAGCAGGTAGTGAACACACCTGTGATGGGCTAACAGGAAGCCCTGAATATCAACAAACACCAGGAGGCCTGGAAATAGTGGGCACCCACGGCACCTCCCCCAACTCTCAACAGCAGTGCCCACTCATGCTTGGAATGGGTGCTCCTGCCATCGGCAAGGGGGCAGCAGGAGGTTCCAGGGGCCCATAGACCAAGATCCATGGAGCCCCCTTTTCAAGGCTGGAGGACAACAGCAGTCAGGCAAAGGCCCACTGCAGTGAGAACCAGGACCTGAGAGTTCTTCAAGAACAGGGAGTGTCTGATTCCTCAGGCCTGGGACCCGGCACTGAGGGCTTGAGGAGGGAGAGGGAGGCCGCCCTACCTCACCCAGGTCAGCAATCTCCCTCTGCACATCCTTGTTTGGCGCAGTCTGGGCTTTCACTTTGCCTTCCATGACAGAGAGAGATTTCTTCAAGCTCTCTGCTTTCCGGAGGGCCTGGGAGAGGGACATTGGGAGGGGTAAACTCCGGGTCAGGTAACTTTCAGCTTCACTACTCTGTCTGCACACAACTATGGCAAGCACTATTAATGGCAGGCTACGGAACAACACATCCCAAGACACCAGAAGCTTCTCTTCTCTCAGGGAACAAATGTTTGCAGCCTCATGCCCCAGACAGGAGCACCTTCCTCACGCCTGACCAGCAGAAAGGCTGCACTAACTCGGGTTCAGGGGGTGACCGAGAACTCGTGAGTCAGGAGCCCTTCTTACCCCATGAACAAGCTATAGTCCCCACCGCTAGAGCAACTGTCTCCATCTTCCATGCATCTCAAACTAGGCACATACCCCTAGGGAGATGTGGGTAATTACTGGAGCACCAGAAGCCACAGCAAAACTATGGCTGACCCTCCTACACATGGATATATGATAGAGTAGATGGCAGAAGTTACATATATTTTTCAACATTAAACATAAGATAGCTCAGAAGTCTTGTGCAGTGGTGGCTTTCTCCTGCCAGGTAGGAGTAACTGAGGACATTTTGGGGGTAGCACTGTACTTGCAGTTCTGACTGCAGCAGGCACTTAGCTGTCTGCACTCTGGACTCACAGACTGGGCTCCTCGTGCTTTATTCAAATAAGCTACAAGCAGCCTGATCTGCTCACCTTCTGGGCTTCGGCACCTGTGACAGCAACAATCCTCCGGATGCCCTTGGCAATAGCTTCTTCACTCACAATCACAAACGCTCCTGCATGACTTGAGTTCTGCAGGTGCCTGAGGGCAGAACAAAAAGTCTGTGGTGACCAGGAAGCCCAGGTGCCCTGGCCTCCTCACTGCACCCTGGGGGCCCTTGGCTGGGGGACACAAGCCCTGTGAAATAGTCGCTCCTGGGAAGCTCCCCCAAGGACAGTGGGGAAAGGGAATTTCAGAATACAGCTCTGGCCAGGAAGGGGAAAAGATCAGAGGAGGCCTGGGGCGGAGAGCATTGTGACACTGAGCAAGACACCATCTTTCCGAGCCTCCGTTTTCTCATGTATAAAGTGGGGATAATTCTCCCTCACAGACTGTGGTGAAAATCAAATGAGATCAAACAAAAGTGCTTTGTAATCCCTAATACCCAATACAGTGTTACTGCTGGCGTGCTCTACATTCATGCACATTTTTAGTCGTCTTTGGTAGAACAAAAGCTACATTCTTCTATCCTTGCTCACTGGCTGAGGAAATTGGAGATTACCTTTAAAATCTTACCACAACTCCCTAAACAAATAGGTTTTATTCCCCAGTTGCTCAGAGAACCTCAAATGCTCATTAACTCTCAGTCTTTTTTTTTTTTTTAAAGATTGGCACCTGAGCTAACAAGTGTTGCCAATTTTTTTTTGCTTTTTCTCCCCCAAATCCCCCCAGTACATAGTTGTATATTTTAGTTGTGTCTCACAGTCATTTTGCGAGGGTGGTGTAAGGTCTTTGAAAGCTGTTTCCTGTGCTCTGAAGAGCATCGTGTCAAGAGATATTAAGGCAGAAGTGGGACTCACTGGAAGCAGTAATTCAGTTGGGCAGAGGGAGGCCTGGAACCAGATCTCTCCCCACCCTCCACATGCCCACCCGCTCCCTGCTTGTCTGAGGCCTCAGGAGGCCCTGGATGGGCTCTACCATGACCTTAAGAATGTTCTTTTCACAGGCCAGCCCCATGGCTGAGTGGTTAAGTTCACGTGCTCTGCTTTGGTGGCCCAGGGTTTCACCAGTTCGAATCCTGGGTGCGGACATGGCACCGCTCATCAAGCCATGCTGAGGCAGCATCACACATGCCACAACTAGAAGGATTCACAACTATAAATACACAACTATGTACCGGAGGGCATTGGGGAGAAAAAAGGAAAAAAATAAAGAAAGAAAGAACATTCTTTTCACTAAGCTGCTTTTGGAAGCAGGAACTTCCCAGGCCACCATGACTGTCCCAAAAAGGCCCCCAAGGGCTATGGAGGAATCTAAGTTGGCAGAAACCAGAGGCTCTGCCAAGCCAAACTGCGCTGGGTCTACCGTGTGGCCTCACTCAGGTGCTCTGAGACAACGGTGAATCGCCCAGATGCTGCTCTAGTTGGCAAAGGGAGCTAAGTGAGGCCCTAGGAAGGGAAAGGGGCTAGGACCAGATGAGAAGTTCAAAGCACTCCACGGCCTTGCTGAATCCTGACTTCAGAGGCCTTCTTGTCAAGATCAGCCCAGGGAACAAGCGCAAGCAACTGGGTGGCAAGTGTTAAGATAAGCTTTTTCACTTTCTCCTCCTAGGAAGAACATTTCATCACAAACCCTGGAAATGTTAACGTCAGACACTGAGGGGTCTGACTG